CATTTCAGAGTCTGAAACACACTGGAGGAGGGGAAAGGGAGAAACCTTCCTGGGAAATTAACTGGGAGATGCTGCAAGCTAAGGAATTGATTTCTCTCTGTGCATTTTTGTCTGTGCCATGTTCTGTGCTGTGCGTTTTCCTCTGGACTTTGTGACATTTAGAAGCATTTGGCAGCTCATTAAACTCTGCACATGAAGTGATCCAGCCCTGGGAAACTGTCATACTCAGCAGGGACTCACACTGTCTGTTCTCTATGAAGAAGAATGCCACCATTGCTTTGTTCTGTTCCTGGCCATGACGATGTCTTCAGGTGATGCCCCATGTAAACTGGGAAAGTACACACAGCAGTGGAAAGTAAAACAGATGCTGCTCATCTACAACACACCTTGTAAAGAATCACAGCAATGTCTGATATCATCATGTGTTGTCAATATTTTATCCATAGGTTCTTTGGCATTTTGTCCATTTGGAATCTGACAGCCACTCCATTCCCAAGGGGATCAGGTTGGAGCTGGGAGAGATGTGCTTTGGGAAAGAATGGACTTTACTGTGGGCTTTTCCCCCTCATTTGAAGTAAAACACATTGTTTTCTTTAGACATAAGCAAGAAGGATGCCAAGCAGCACTTAGCAGAGAATATACAGCAAGTTGTAAGTTTTTCCTGGACAATCTACTACAGTTATTTGGTTAGAATGGCCAAGGACATGAGCAGCATGTGGAGAGCATGTGTAGCAGTCCTTGAGAAGAAGCTGTGGGATCTCATTGTTAACTCATGGGTACAAGTTACTTCTGGGGACATTCCCACTGGACACAAGAGGAAAATTTTTCACAATGGAATCTCCACAGGGAAGAGGTAGATTCCTCAGCACTGGGTACTTTCAAGATTTGGCTGGGCAGGGTGCAGGGCCATCTTGTCTAGACCATGCTTTTGCCAAGAAAATGGACCAGATGGTCCTTGAGATCCAACCTGGTATTCTACGATCTATGATTCATGCATCATAAAGAAACTGGTTCCCAAAGTGGGCTCTTCTGAGGATTTTTAAGAGCACTGGGGCCAAAACATTTTTGGCAGAGGGAAGTTAATTGTATGCAACAAGAGCTCCAGAGGAGTTGGAAAATCATGTCATCCTTTCTCTACATTGACTGCTAGGAAAACTCACATGGAGCTTGACTTTCAGAGGTGAGGAAGAGCTGCTATCTCAGATGAAAATAGTAATAGAGAAGAAACAGCCATGCTACCAACCTTGTCCCTCCAGCATCCACAGGAAGGTCCACTGACAAGATTGCTGAAGAAAGGAGGAGCAAGGCAGGGAGAAGATATTTTCCCTGCAGCCACATCTATTCTCCTCCTCTGCTATTTTTCATCACCTCCTCCTTCGCTACAGCAAAACAAAGAGGGAGCCAACAGTGACAGCAACATCAAGAAAGAAACATCTTGTTCTTCTATAACAAGAATCTCCTTCTTCTAAAGTAGGACAGAAAATAGTGTCCTAATGGAAGCAGGTGAGAATGGCGACCTTTGCCTCCTTCTTGGCAGTCTGAGCAGCTCCTGAGACACATGCACAGTCTCCACCCAAGCTGTTCCATAGTCTTCTAAAATGGTTTGACTGAACAGCTTTGTCTTTCCTTCATCTGTAACAACTGCTCTGTAAGGCCTTGCTAACATTTTAAACACATGCAAACTTCAGCATTGCAAGACATATGTAAATATCAGCATACTTATGGTCAGAGTAGGGTAGACCATGATAACTCCCCCATCACTGGAGCTATACAGAGGCTACACGCGGAGAAGAATCCCAAATATTTAGAGATCAT